AGACTTGTGCTCCAGACCCCTCACCAGCCTCGTTGCCCTTCTCTGGACATGCTCCAGCACCTCGATGTCCTTGTAGTGAGGGGCCCAAAACTGAACACAGTGTTCGAGGTGCGGCCTCACCAGTGCTGAGTACAGGGGCACAATCACTTCCCTAATTTGTGTCTCTGTGTGTGGTCCCAGCCACTCCAGCACTCTTTGAAAAAAACCTCCAAACCCAGGAAGCCAAGGAAGGCTCTACGGTCACCCCTCATGCTGAGCTCTCCAAACACCACGCACCAGTGAGGTGGAAAATAGGGTCAGTCTTGCTCCAAGCCAGCAACAAGTATGAAGTGAAGCAGATGGGGTCTGCTGTGGAGCTACTCATACGCGATCTACAGCTGAAGGATGCTGGAGACTACATCTGCAATTCTGGCGATGAGCAAACCATGGCATCCTTGGTAGTAAGAGGTGACAAAAAGCTTTCACTTCACCTTTAGGGAGCTCTAGGTTAGTTTAGATGTTACATATTCCCCCCCGGATTTAGGGACACTGTGACAGTGAGTCTGGTCCTCTCTTGTGATGAGGATTTCTGAATCAACAGTGATGCAGTCTGACAGACTAGGTCTTCACAAAGACATTATTTCTCTCTCCTACTTACTCCTTTGCTGGCTCCTAAAAGGCCTAGGGCTGCAGGACTTAGCTGCACAATGGGATGCCTTCACCGCAAATGCAACTGTACAAAAGCCTCGACCCCAGCCATTGCCCAGCTGTCCCACAGAATACACCATCTATTCCTACATCATCTGCAAGCACCTTCAGATCTCTCTCCTCTTATACACATCTGCCACCCAGTTCCTGTGAATTCACTCTCATTTCTAGAGCCCCACCTCCTTCCCTTGTAAATACCAGTTCAGCTGTAACTGTGGAGCTACCAAGGTTCTTCTAGGGAACGGGACTTGGGGAACTGAACTTCTACATGTGGCGCATTGTAAATCAACCCACCAAAACTCCATCTTGACCCATCGGTGATAAACATCAGTGCAGGGACTTCCAGAGTTCATCTCTCTTCCGGGTCCGGTTTTCAAATGAGGGGCATTATATAACGATGTTTCTCCATGCACCCTCCCAAATACCCAAGAACTTAGATATCAGGCGTAGGCTTTTGAGTTATGGCTTTGGCACCCATTTGGAGATACGTGCACTTAGGTGCTCAATAGTCCATATCCGTGACCGCTCCTGTGTAAAGGAACATATTCCCAGAGGTGCTCGGCGTGTGCAGTGCCCAGTGGCTCTTGGGGAGTGCAGAATGCTTAGTGCTCCTGGAAGTCCAGCACTTTCTGTCATTCCTTGTTTGGGTTTTAAAGTAATTTTTCAAAGTAATGGCACCACAGTTTCACTAAACACAAGACTTAGTGACACAGTCAGCAATGAAACATAATTTTTTTCCTCTGATTTATCTCTGTTTAGCTTTGCCAGTAATCTTCACAAAACCACTCCAGAACCAGCAAGCCGAAGAAGGTGGCACCATCACTTTGAGCTGTGAAATCTCAAAATCAAATGCCGCTGTGCAGTGGAAGAAGGCCGGGACAGTGCTGCGACCAAGTGATAAATACAAGATGCACCAAGCTGGGTCCGTGGCTGAGCTGATGATTTGCAACCTGAGTGAAGCTGATGCTGGGGAATACACGTGCGACACAGGGGACCGGCAAACCACTGCAGCTCTGCTCGTGAAAGGTGGGGCTTTGCCTGGGGAAGAGCTGAACAGAGCTTGGTACCGTGGCAGGGGCACATGATTAAGTAATTTGACAGCTAGACATTGTCCTGTGCCCAAACTGAATCATGGGGATCTCAGAGACGAGAGTGATTTCAGAGGGATAAAACTGGGTCAGTTATCTCTAGGGAATCAGAAATGGGTCTTTAGTCAATGATTCTGTGGTTTAATGTTAATGTCACCCACTAAAATCTGTTGACAGTGTTTTCATAATACATAGCTTGCATTATAAACATATATTATGTATTTATTATATGCACAATACAGTATAACGTGCATACTTTATAGATTATCATATATATGTGTGCATAAGATATATGCACACATACATACATTATGCCTCTGTAAGAACGTAACATGTTACTACATGCCCGTGTAACTACATTTCCGTGCATTTAGTGCTTAGTGCTTTGTGGTCATTCTTTCAAATAATATAGTACTGTCAAGAAAGAGCATATTGAAATGTTTAACCCAGGAAGCATCACTTGAAAGTAGATATCAAACTCTGTTGACCTTTCCCTAAAGAACCAGCAGCAACCATAGTGGAGACACTGAAGGACGTAACTTCGTATGAAGGAGAAGATGCAGTGTTTGAATGCAGGCTGTCCCGGGAAACAACTCAGGATGCCCAGTGGTTCCTGGGGGATGTTCCCCTTCAATCCAATGAAATGAATGAGATCAGAGTCCAAGGGACGCATCACACACTGATCCTGAGGAAGGTGACACTAGAAGACTGCGGGCCCATCAGTTTCAAAGTCGGGCAGCATACCTCAGCAGCACAGCTAATGGTCCAAGGTGAGCAACCTCCTAGGAAGAGGGATTTAGAAGGTACTGGTAAGAACAGTCAGTATTGCTTTATCTTCTGGGGAGGTTTATTTGGGAGGAGGGGTCTCTGGAAATCTTGGGAAATTTCACTAACTTAATTTAGGCATTTAACAGGTAGGTATGTACATCTGAGCTAGTTCTTTCAGTCCTTTTTCCTATAGTCCATGGAGTGAGGCAGACATCCTTGGAAGACCATCCAACTTATCCTGAAATAAGCAGCTAAGATATGTCAGAATCAATGCTGAAGAATGTCAAGAACATTCTCTGAATTAATCTCTTACTTATGATATTTTTAGATCATATTTACTCAAAAAATTGTCCAAAAACTTGGAAAAAACTTTCCATTAAGTTCTATAGAATGATTTTGAAAGATGGGCCATGTTAACACCTTATCTTGTTTGTTCCTCTTTGATCTGGTTCACAATGTAACTATAGACACCCGCTTCCGATCTGGGGGCAATGCTGGGTTAGGCGGTTGCAGCAGTGTTGGTACCCTCTTCCCCACAGTTGCTCCGGTCACCTTTGTAAAGGCTCTCCACAGCTTGGAGCTGCAGGAGGGTGGCACGGCTCACTTGTCCTGTGAGGTGTCCAAGCCCGATGTGCCAGTGGAATGGAAGAAAGGCACGTCCGTGATCTGCTCCAGCCAGAAGTGCAGCATCAAGCAGGAGGGGAACGTGCACACGCTGGTCATTCACGATTTGAACCGTGCGGACTCAGGGGAGTATAGCTGCCACGTAGGTGATGGGAAGACCACTGCCAGATTAGAGGTTAAAGGTATGATTTCTTCTTTGCTCAGCAGTGGTGTGAGGTGTGCATGCCAATTTTTGGAGCTCCCCGGTACAAGACGGACATTGAGGTAGTGGAGCAAGTGCAGCAGAGGCCACCAAGTTTGTCAGGGGGCTGTAACACGTGAAGTATATGGAGAGGCAGGGGTAGCTGGGTTTGTTCAACCTGGGGAAGAGAAGGGCTGGTGGGGGGGACATACCTCATTGTTGTCTGCAGCTACCAAATGGGAGTCTACAGAAAAAAGAGACAGACTTTCCTTGGGGTACTCAGTAAACAGATGAGAGGCAACAAGTAGAAGCTGCATCAAAAGAAAGTCACATGAGGAAGAAAACCCAACCTTTCACAATGAAGGGGTGGTCAGGCAGTAGATCAGGGACCCAGAGCGGCAGAGGAATCTCCATCCGTGGAGGAGCTCCAGAGGTCCCTTCAGCTTTAATTATTCTGTAATTAAATCTGATCCCTGGCTGCATGATCTGAAGCCTCAGGTCTGCAGGTGTGTATTCTTTGAGTGTTTTAATCCTGTTCAGTGGTTTTATTTTGGGGATGAAAAACCATATGGGCTTCAGAAATTATTATTGAAGTTAGTTGGGAATTCTTTGTGAAAGGAAGTCTAGGATATGGGGAGAGAAATGCAGCTCCTGTAGAAATGAAATTTTTCCCGCTTGTTAACTCCTCTCCCTCCTCTTCCTCCTCTGACTGGCTTAGACCTAGGCATCCCTGCCCCTGGCAGCCCTCCTTAGGTAAATGTAGCCAGAATTGTGCATGAACTTCATGAATGGCATTACCAGTACCTTAAAAATAAAACATTCCTCCATTTACTATTTTTGTTTTGCCCGTTTTTTCATTTTGCACCATCCCCCCTTTTAAGCGCTGCCCGTGCTTTTCAAACACTGGCTGAAAAATGAGGAGGTGGAGGAAGGGCGCACAGCCATGCTGCACTGCGAGCTGACAAAACCCAACGCACCCGTGGAGTGGAGGAAAGGAGATGCGGTGCTGCAGCCAAGTGACAAGCATGAGATCCGGCAAGAGGGAACACGTGTTGAGCTCTTCATCTATGATGCTGAGGCTCAGGACGCCGGTGATTATACGTGCGACTCGGGGGATCAGCAGACCACTGCATCGCTCCAAGTCAAAGGTAGGAGAAGCCTTGCTTGAAGGCAGAGAAGTTACGGCTGCCGCTGTCCTCCATAGGGGTGATAAGGAAGTTTTATCACTGAATTATCATTAGCGCTCTGTATCTGTGAATTACAACTGCAGGAAAGGGTTTGATCTGCAATCTGTTCTTCAAAGAATAATCTAGTGCCTTTTAAACCCAGTTCTATTTCTGCAGTTGCAATTTTGATCTCTCTGTGAGAACTGGGAGCAAAACTGCAGCTGCTGCTGATGGAGTATGTACAAGAGCATTTAGAAAACTTGCCTGCTGCCCGACAGTAAGAGACTGGAGTATGTCACCATACCTAAAACGGGCCCGTTTTAAATGGAGCATGAGCAGCCCAACATTTGTGGCTCTCTTTCTTTTTTCTAGTGGCTACACTTTTTGATTTTATAGTTTTATTCATTTTATACTTCTGTATACTGATTTTATAGGTTTATTAATTTTAAAGCAACAAGATCATGCTTTTAGATCCTGTGTCTAGCCCCCATAACCAGCTCCTGCTCAGAGTGTGTGGTTTCAGTGGTTAAATGTCCAAATGCTGCGATTGGTACTGTTGTGCCTCTAACTGCTTACGCTGAAAATGGTGGGTATGCCCACATGAAGCCCCTTAGAGGTCCTGTGACCTACGGCAATCCTTTATGGAGCACCAGTGGACACCCTCACAGTATCAGTGGCTGATCCCCATGAGTGTCTGGCTATGGCACAACTCAAAGTCCTGCTCTGGGCTTGGCCTTGCCAGCAGGCAAGTTGTGGTTCAGGAAGATGGGAACTGCCCAGCCAGAGAAGTTGCAAGCAAGTTTCTCACCTCTGAGCGCTGTCACTGATGCAGTTGCTTCTCCACCGCAGTACTACCCGTGCTGTTTAACGCAGAGCTGAAAAACGTAGAGTCTGAAGAAGGGGGAACAGCTGTCTTGCACTGTGAGATCTCCAAGCCGGACGCCCCCGTTGAGTGGAGAAAAGGAGGGGTGGTCATTCAGCCCAGTGACAAGTATGAGATGAAGCTGAAAGGCAGCGTTGCTGAGCTGATCATCCACGGCGTAGAGCCTGATGACTGTGGGGATTATACCTGTAGCACTGGATACGAGATCACCACAGGTTCTGTGTATGTGCAAGGTAAGGTGAAATGTGGTGGAAATGCTCTGACTTTGCTGCCTGGATTTCTTATTCCAAAATCTTTGACAGTAACTGGCTAAACTTGTCTCAGATGCAAACAGTTGAAAGTCCATTCATTTCTTTCCTGATTTCAGTGAAGATATAAACATTTACATCCAGGCTGTGGTTGGACCAATGTTTATAAGTTAAGGTAGTTCAAAGTGCTGACCGTACTGTGTACCATAGCAGCTGGTGGTACTGCTGAAAAACTATTTGCTTGGAGCAGTGGTCATAAAAAATACTGAAATCCTTGTTATTACTGATTACAGCTTCTATAATTGTTAATATTCTCACTACTCTTTTAAAGCACTGTAAGCAAACATGTAAATCTTAAGCTACCTCTCCACCTCCCACCTCGTACAATGTCAGTGCAGATGGTGGCAACACACAGGAGAGCCGGTCATGACCTGGTCATGGAGTAGAGTTTCCTCCCAATGAAAAAGTGTTTGCAGACACACACACTGCGCTTGCAAGCGGGTGAAGGATGGAAGGTGGTTTCTAAATCCCTTAAAGACAACGTTAGGTCTCTTTTCCCTGGAACAGCATTACAAGTCTAACTCTCCTGGACAACTTGCACTGTTGCTTGGGCTAGTTCTGCAGGAAGCGACATGTATGTTTATGCTTTTGTTTTCCTTTGGCACCTTCTCTTGCTCTATTATACAGAAGAAGCAGCAGTCATAGTTTCTGGTTTAAAGAACACAGACGTCTTTGTGGGCGAGTCAGCCACGTTCACCTGCGAGCTCTCGCACCCGGGCGTGAAGAACGTGCAGTGGTGGCTCGATGGATCTCCCCTTCACAACAACTTTGTGACTGAAATCTCTGAGCAGGACGGGATGATCCACACTTTAACGCTAAATGACGTGGCGTGCCATGACTCAGGCACTGTCACCTTCAGAGCTGGGTCCCTTATATCTTCAGCTAAGTTACTAGTCAAAGGTATTTTGTTGTTAGAAAGAAACACATGGCCACCTCTGGACTTGCTCAGTGCGCTAGTGCTTCTGCCTTCCAGGCTACCCTTACTAAATCCCTTCACAGTTCTGTGTCCTGCAACCCTCCACTTCTGCAAGTCACCCATACTCACACCAGAAATCTTATATGTACAACCACATCGATTTTTTTTTTTTTTCAGTGGTTCAGGTGAGGAAGGGTTGCAGGATCAGGGCTGCTGCTTTCACCTGACATCTAAATAGAGCTGAACATAAACCACTGTGGTAGCACCTGGGGTTTTTTTATCCCCGCTTCAACTGTTTTTATAATACCACAAAATATTATGTAGCTGGAGATTCACAAACTTACCACTGTGCTGCTCCATAGCTAGGCTACTGGCACTGAGCTCAGCATGCTCCCAAGACAAGACTTTGGGCTGTTATATTGATGGCTCCAGAGCTCTTCCTGGAAACCAAAGGGTATATGACATTGCAGTAACACAGTGACAAAATGAGCCTCATTTGTTGACTTGCCAGAATAGTAATGGTCATCACTGCACTATCAAAGCTTTCTGCTCTGTTGAATAAATATTTTTCTCATTTGGTAAGGGTAGCCACAAGCTGCAAATAACACTGAGCTCCAGACTTGATAAAGCAAGCTCCTTCACATCCAGCCCTTCTATAGCCATTGGGAAAAGCTGTTATTTTTCAGACAAAAGTAACACTTATTCCTTGCTTGGAAAAGGGATTTGTATATATGGAGCTATGTTAAGAGTTCTTTATTAAAATCTACCCCCATGCTATAACTGTCTACCGTAACAGGAATGATCCACAGTATGGAATTGTAGTCGGTGGTTGATGTCTCCTTCTCTGTTTAATGTGTCCCTGGTACATTCAGGAAATTTAACTCTCTGCAAAGATAAAATGCCAAATCACTTCTTCCTAATATCAGAATGATGCAGCAACAACATAGTGTGCAAACCCCACAAATCCCATGTCCATTTGTATCAATTTTGAGTTTGACATTTTCAGAGACAGAACCTGGTTCTGAGCTCTCTAGGCAAAGAACTCCAGTGGGCCTAAAACATAAATTAAAAATAAATGCATCATTAGGTAATCTACTCAGTCAAATAAAGGGCTCCTGAGAAGTTTTCATTTCACAGAATCACAGCATCGTTGATGTTGGAAGGGACCTCTGGAGATCATCTAGTTCAACCCCACAGCTCATGCTAGTACACATATGTATGTGGATATTTTATGCTTCTATTAAGGCAAATTTCTTTAATGTGAACCTGAATCACAGTAGTATATGACTATAATTGGATTAGGATGAGAAAGGTATTTAAAAAACACTGTGCTCAATAACACTTGATTTAATAGGAAAGTAAAACACTAGTAAAATTCTAACTGTGCTTGTATTAACAGCCAATTTCGTGCACTTTATTTTGTCCAGAAATTTAAAAATAGATCTGTCTTTGAACTAGGTGTATTTCAGTCTACCTATCTATCCACGGCTTGTTCTTCATCAGGGAACAAGTTGTCTTTCTCTCTGTTCCATGTGCCCCATTCTCCTGGGGTAAGGCATGCTTGTAACTGGATATATTCTACAATAAGTGACATCTCATGACAGCTTTTCTTGTTGGGCTTTCACAGTATCATTGCCCTACAACTGCATTCATTCAGTGGCCCAGCACGACAACATCTTCACGTATGGGTTGGGGGGAAAATGGAAAAGGTTGAAGGAGTTGCCGCCTTCTTCTGACCCCTTTGGGGAGGGTGAGAATTACAAGCCCCAATGTACATGTTGGGTCTTAAGTCCCCAGGAGCTTTCTTGCCTTTCTGCGTGGGTGAATAAGGCCACCAAAGTCTTTGCCTAGCAGTGGCAAAGAGCAATGGGGCAGTGGAACCAGGACACCTTCCTTCTCCAAGACCACAGGTGACATTTGCTGTGAGGAGCACGTGTCTGCATCTTATGAGATGGTATTGTACTCCCCAGCTGCACAGATACCTTCTTGCTTCTTCAGTCCTGGTGTAACCAAAACATCTCCATGATCTGCCATTGTTGCCTCCTCTCCATAAACACACATGCAGATACGGAGTGGTAGAGGGAGCCTTAGAGAGCAGGATCAAGCCTTGCAACAAGTTTCCAAAAGACATTTGCAAAACTATCTTTGCTTGCCAAGGTCTGCTAGTAGCATCCCAAATCCTCGACCTGATGCACCAGTTTCAAGAGGAGCATTCCAGACAGAGGTCCAGTGTAGTTTATTCTAGCTGGCTTCCGATCAGAACAACTATTTGAAAGCTAAGAACATATATCAGCTTTCTCTGATGGTCACCTTTTTATGTCCCATTGTAGCCCTATAAATTTTTAGGGGAAATTGACATAGTTCTGCTGAGAAGGATGTTGCAGAGAGAATTTCATTTTCAGACTTCATTGAGATTTTTATTTTTAGCATATATATTGCAGTTGTATGCGGGTGGTCCAATTTGACGTCTCAGGAGGGACTCCTTGGCTGCTTTGGAACTTCACAATATTTTGAGGTTAGATACATCTACTGTGCCCTACAGCTGCCTCCCAGGAAGCAGCATTAGTATTTTAAAAGAAAGACTGGATGCTTAAAAGCAGTTTCATGGATCTCACCTTCTTCAGAGGAGCTGCATATCCGGCTGCTCTCAGCATTTTATGGGCTCTCAACCTGAGACTGCAATGGTTCATGCTGCATCTCTAGATTGGCTACTGTAAAGGAAATCATACCATTTTTCCCCAAAATATGTCTCTGCTGCAGAGGAACACGTGGTTAATCAAAACAACAAGTATACGTCTCCTGTGAAGTGCCCTTTTTTGTTGCAGTTGTCCTGGATCTTTGCTCCTCATGCTGCCAGTGACTCCTGACATATAGCCATCACCACCACAGCACAGGAATGAGTATTTGCATTGGAGTATTACATTTCTTTCCAATGAGTGGTTGCAGTTTGCTCATGCAAGGAGCCTCCAGTAGAGTTTGTGGCATTTTCTTATTGCTATGTGAGGCTGAGAGTTACAGGGAACCACTCAGGGCAGCCCATCCATTGCAGTCCTCTGTCTCACACTTGCGGTCCTGCCGCGTTCTGGGAAGCAGAAGTGTTTCGCATCCAGTCCTTCCTAGTCTTCCTAGCGATGCTGGGAGAAAAACCAGAAGATGGTCTTCCTAGCAATGTTGGGAGAATCCCAGCAGAGAAGTTCATATTCAGGACTGTTAAAGCACAAGCCTTAGTTGCTGGTGGCCCATTTTCCAGTGTGATAGTTATATTCTAATGTACCAGTTTTGCTTCAATCCTGCTTGATGCTGACACAAGCACAGACTAAACTGCTAATCCCCAGTGTGCCCAGTCAGCTTTCTGCTTGCACTGTCACTCTGCTTGCTCCCCACAGGCTCTGTGCTTGTCAAAAAAATCTCTAAATTGCGATTTCCATGAGGATCCACTAATGCATGTCCTTCCTGACGTGTTGGTTAACAGATCCAACCATTGAAGTGGTCAGTCCCATGCAGGATATAACTGTTGATGAAGATGGCACAGCAGAGTTCATATGCCAATATTCTAGGCCAGTACACGCCATATGGAAGAAAAATGATCAGGAAATACATGCAGATGGGCATCGAGTGATTATCAATCAGGACTGGAATGTAAGCATGCTAAAAATTAAACCTACGGTACCAGAAGACACTGGCATCTATTCTTGTGAAGCTGAAGGCACTAAAGTGATGGCTGCACTTGATGTCCAAGGTGAGGTCTTCCAGCCAAAGAGGAAGACTATCATGGGTTCCAAATAAGAGGTGGAAAAATCATGGCAACACCTCACATTGTGACACATCAGATACCCGCTCTTTGGTGTTCACTCCAGTACTGATAACGATGATAAAAGTAGTTGGGAGTTAATGGGATTTGAATATGAAACTGCAGCATTTCACTGGAGCTTAGTTCTAATTAACGCTCACTTATTACACCGCTTACGCATCATACCTCTTCTACAATGAACTGGAACATCAGTGCTGAATTATTGTAAAATCACAGATGTAATGTTGGTCCGAAGGAATAATAAGAGTACTTTTTGCTGTTACAGAATGCTTTTTACACACAGTGTGCCTTAAAACCAGTAGCTAATGGACAGTGTGGCATTTCATTTTATTTTCAGCTAAGCTAAGGTAGCTTGGTATTTTACTTATTTCAAATACTGGTCACTCGGGAATTACCTTCTCACTTGGCATCAGCATTTGTGAAGGGCCCTGAGAAACAGTAAATAAAAATATTAACAATAGGCTTAGGATTTTATATTGATGTTTCTTATTTTTTTTCTGCTGCGTATGGCATTATTGTTTTTGGTCACCAGGTGAATTAGTGCGGTCAGCAAGAGCAATGATTCTGATTTGATTTCTGAATATCTGTGTTTTGTTAGGCAATTACACCTTCTTGCTTAACCAGAGTTGTGAGTACAGAAGAGCAGGGTATTATTTCTTACAATGTTTTCTACATTGATAAGCATTTTCCATTTTAGGGATTTAAAAAGGTGTTAATGAACATAATCTAAAAGCATCCCAGAGGAGGTAGGATTTGCAATTGGCTGCTTTTCGTAGTTAGGGAAACCAGCACTCCAAAAGTGCACAAATAAACAGCTCAGATTTGTTCTAACAAAATTATACATTCTCCAAGGATTTACAAGCCCCTCGTTGTTCTCCATAAGCATGAATATTATAAAATACAGAATTTTTTTAGTAACTCATGCTTTCTTTTTTTTTTGTGCTATTAAATAAATTGTTCAGCGCTTTTTTTTTGCCTTTTTTTTTTTTTTTTTTGCTTAGAACAGTTCCAGACAGTGGTTATAGAGATTCAAACAGGAATATCTCAGAGCATTGGTTTATATTATAGATCATGCTGACCATTGTATGGTATTTGTGTAAACTGTATTTACTTAACTGTGTGTTCCCACTGTTGTGCATGTAATTTGTCCATGTGGCTGGTCTAACACAAATTATATTCACATGCACCAGCCCACATTTAATTCTGCGTCAGGCTAATTGCTTATGTACAAGTGCCAACTGATGCATGACTCTGCGGGCAAATGGAGTGCGTAGATACGTGCATGTTTCTGACCACAAAATTCGCCACACACGCATGAGAAAATAAACCTGATGCATTATCACAGAGCTTTTGTAATAATTCAGAAATTTACTATTCAAAATACTGTTCATACAGATTTTAACTTTTTGTGTGTTTCCCAGAGGCATATTTGTTAACTCAGACAACAGTCACTATGGCTTTGCCAGCTATAATATTCTTCCATGTGCTTTGCACGAAAGGTAGTAAGACTTTTATCAGGAGCTGTCAGTGGATTCGCATCTCCCCAGTTATGATGATAGTTGTGCTGCCTGGGAGATCTGTGGGAAATGTTTCTTGCTGTGGGAGAGAAGGAATTTGATTATACTTTACCTTCCTGAGCTATCCCTTCCTATCGACTATTGGCCTGATGCATATAAACACCAACATTTTTTTTTCTTTATTTGTAAAAACAGAAGTCAGGTTTCTGGAGGAAGTCTAGATGAAATGCGAGAGGTCCTCGAGGTTTATCATTATTTTTAAACTATCTCACTATTTAAAATGTTTTTAAATATAGTATTGTGTTAGAGCACCGTTGAAATCAACAACTAAACCTACAAGCACAGTTTATCACATCCACATCCTTTCCATCAGCTGTCCAGCAGTGGGAATCATCCAGTGCTCCGAGGCTTGTTAATATTCAGATATGCATGGCCGAACAATTAATACTGTTTGTTGTCCTTCTTTGCTAGCCAAGAACAGCATTGTCCAGGGCTTGGAGAACGTGGAAGCCGTGGAAGGAGGAGAAGCCCTGTTTGAATGCTATCTTTCCAAGCCTGAGTGCTGCAATTACAACTGGCTGATTGACGATGAACCTGCCAAAACTACAGAAAACACTGAGATGGTTTACTTTGAAAATGGACGCAGGCATCTTCTGCTGCTGAAGAACCTAACTCCCCGGGACAGCTGCAGGGTGACTTTTATGTGCAGCGACGCAGTGACCTCAGCCTTCCTGACGGTGAAAGGTAACCGAAGCACTCGTGCACGGGGAGTCTTAAATTTCTGGTTGGAAAGGGCAAATGAACCAGGAAAATATGATGAGTAGCAGAGAGGAAAAGTTGCATTTGTTGCTTGCTTCTTACCTAAATCTTCTTCCCACACAATAAATGGATGATATTTTACAATTTCCTTTTTTTCTGTATGTCATGACACAGATATAAGCAGCATCAGTTGGCAATGAGTTAGCAGCAAATGACTGTCTTTCTTACAGTTGTCATTATTCTGATGAGTTGGGTTGCGTTTATAGGTACTTCAGGGCTTTAGAGATGAGAGTTATATCAGCAACAATATTATCTCTGCATCCTTGCGTTTTGTGCTATTCCTGGAGGCCCCTGTGGGAATCAGAACCCCTTTCAGAGTACAAGAACAGCCATCCTCAGTCATAGCGTGGTATCTCCATTGTGGTTTTCTGCTACTTGGGAAAGACAGACATTGCTAAGTTGGTTTTTGCTCCTGAAAGTTTTGGAAAGTTTCAGTCCCCAGTGATACCTTCTGTTCTAGCGATATACATAACCTCCCTTTTAATGATCTCCTTGGTCTCCAAGGCCTGACTGTCCAGAGCTTCAGCATAAATATTCACAAAATCTCTTGCTTGTATTTGTTTCTGTAACTGAGGGCTTGATAACCTATTTTTATCTACAGGATGGCGCCTACAGATCTTGCAGCCTCTCACAGATGTGGAAGTCTCTCCGGGGGAGAAAGCTACATTTAGCTGCGTTCTAAGTGAAGCTGTGCCAATTGCTGAAGTTGCCTGGTATAGTAATGACATAGAGATCCAGTCGGATGAGGACTGGGAGGTACAGGCAGATGGAAACAAATACAAACTTATTCTGAAAAAAGCCCAACCGCATCATTCTGGAGAGGTGACCTTTGCTTCCAGGGAAGCAATTACATCAGCCAAGTTATCAGTGATAGGTAAGCGTCTATCATTCTAGCCCAGTGGCGCTTGAAATCTCAGACTTTGGTACTGAGCAATAACACTTACTTTTCTAATCTTTGTACTGATTCTTTTCTCTTTGCCTTGCATGTCCCAAGCTAGTGTTCTTAGTCTCAGAAGATGCTACTGGGCAACTTGTTCTTTGACCAGAAATAGTCCACCTCATCAGAAGAAAATTTGTTATCAGGCTAGCGATGGTAAAGAAGTTCACCAGCTTTCTTTACCTGCAGTCTTTTGTAAAATGTAACACAGAGTCTAATGCAGAGTTCAACATCACCCTCAGCAAACGTGGACATGGGAGGGAGCTGAACTAGAGTGCATATGGAAAAATTATCCAAGGCAGCAGAGAACCTTTTGAAATCTGCTGATCTACTCAAGTGCAGGGCAACCAGTTTTCCAGATTAATGAGTTGCATATTAAAATCTTCACGTGGGTGAGATCCGTGAAACACACACCTTGTACTTCAGAGACACAAAAGTTAATAGCTCTTGGAGTAGTTCACGAGTAGAAAAGATGATAGTTCCCTAATTCCCTCGTAGGGCAGGTTAGACCAATGATTCATCAATGTCCATTCCAGCACCCAAGGTCTGGCTCCTTCCCACAGTGGGATAGGTGGGTCACCCAGCAATGGTCATGCCAGCACAACCCCGGTGATGGTTATGAGATAATTGCAATGTGTTTTATCTGTACACTCTAGTTGAGATGTTCAAGAGCCACTGATTGACCATCAGTTCTTTAAATTATTACAGGTAGTCTGTCTATCTAATGATTTCTGAGACTTGAGAGATCTCGGATATATTCCAGTGGCTTCCGCAAAAAAAAAAAATTGGTTGTTGACGGATTATCTTAATAATTATCTTAAGCATTATCTTATTTTGGGCACCTACATTTTAGGAACTGCAAAATACTATCCTCATTAACTCCTCCTGTTGACAGCTTTTCTGTATGAAATTTGGCTGAGAATAGAGAAAAGAGGCTTTCATGTTATGTTTGTGGTGTCCAGAATTAACAAACTGGCAGTTGACCTTATTTGCCTTTGATTTGTTGGATTGGTACATCGTGGCAGATCATCTACTCGGTAAATGCCTTGAACTTGAGGACTAAAAGAATTATTTCTGTATTCTAAGCCAAAGTGAGGAACGTTTTCCAATGTACTGAGTACGATCGTCAGTAGCCAAGCTGGTAGGACACCAGACCATTCCCATTATGTATTTATTTGTTACTGCCTGATGCTGTGACATATATAGCAATTACAGAGAAATTGAGTGACTTGCTATTAAATGACTAGAGTTACTCTGTAGTCCAACAATAACTTGATTTCCATTAAGGCCAGACCTGAAATAAATATGATCAAGGCCCAAATGTACTTGAAGTTTTCAGCTAAGTTCCTTGATAATATGGACAGCGTAGGGTCATCTTTATTTTGAGCTGGGTGGGACAAAGCAACGGGAAAAAATCACAACAATATGTTACGTTAAGTTTGTGAGATGACAGTTGGAAAATGAATGTTTGTCATTAGCAGTGTAGATCAGGGCAGACAAAGGAAAACTCAGTGGTCCACAGGTATGTCTCACGGTCATGGGCATGTACCCACTCAACTTTACAATAACACAAATATTGAATCTGTTGTGCTTCCTTCTCATTGCTTGTAGAATGCTCTTGGTTGTTTTAGTATAAAGCATTATTGCTCATGTCATACATCACGGGACCTCTGTTGTGCCTTCAGCCCACCCCGATCCACCTGAAGAACCAGAAGTTTTAAGTAAGAACAGCCACTCTGTAACTCTGTCTTGGTACAAGCCGTTGAGTGACGGCGGTTGTGACATCCTAGGCTACAACGTTGAGAGGAAAATCCCAGGTATTGGCTGGCAGTCGTGCAGCAAGGGCATTATTCAAAACACAGAGTTTATGGTGGACAATCTCACTCCGGGTGAACCCTACAGATTCCGCGTCTCGGCTATAAACAAAGTTGGGGCCAGCGAGCCGGTGCACTTCCCTCAGATGGTGCGGCTAGGTGAGAAAGGAGAGATGCCCCCATGGAGGACTGCAAGCTGCTGTAGACCTTGTGTTTCGCATGGCATGCCTGCTTCACCCGTTCCAGGCATCTCCTGGAACGTCTTTCAGTGCTTTGCTGCCAACACAATAGAGGAGAAAGAGCTTGGAAAAATTGTTCTGGGCTGCTGCAAACAAAACCTGCTGTGTCGTTAGTACTCAACACTTATTTTCTCCGAACTGCATCAAGCTGTCTTGCAGCCTGCACTGCATCCATGTGTTGTCTGGTCAACATGAGTTTCTTTTCTAGTGGAGTTAGGATGGAATGAGTCAAAAGGGGCATGCTGGAATGCATTTGGGGTAACCAAGACCAATGCAGTGGGTGGGCAGTGTTGTCTTCTTCATCCATCTTTCTATTTTGTTACATTATTTGTGTATCTTTTTCAATAACCCCCACAAAGAAATGCTGGAGGACACAGTTCCTTTGCTGTCTGTTGGTGAAACTTTGGAAGCCACAGTGGGATGGAGAGCTACTCCCTCAATCTTTCTTTTCTTGCAACTCTTTCTGTGATAGCCGAGTGCCCAACAAATTCCTCGAAGTGAGAATAATAATAAAAAATCCTCTTTTGCTTAAGGCTCAGACATGCAATGATGGTCTTGCAACATAACAACTGCTAGTGCTGGACCCTGATAACTCTGCGTATGCCGACTTTGTCTACAACAAGCCCAAGGCATTTTGGGCAGTGGTCCCCTCACCCCAGTGAAATGTGCAGAGGGGTAGATCACACTCAGGAGCGTGCTGCTTTTGGGAACTCAGCTATGTGCTTTGCGTCTCAGTCAACATCTCCGTGTTTAATGCATTTGTCTTCATTTTGAGTATCGCTGTACAAACAGTGTGCCGTTGGCAGGCCTCCTTCCAAAGCAAAGAAGATACAGAGAATTTTTATTTTTAAATTCTTTATGCTTTTTGAGACTTTTTATTCTTCCTAAACTAGCTTTTTTTTTTTTAAACTTTCAAGACTGGGATGAATGCCACTTTTAATGATCTCTTCTTTTTTGTTCTTTTTATTGTTTCTTTCTTCACTCACTTCAGAACTGCTTCACTTCTGAACTTTAAGATCTTCTAAAATCTGTAGGACTGCTTGAATACTGGTGATGGGTAAATGAAGATCAGCAAACAAACACAAGAATGTGAAAAATGCAACCACTTTTGCATGTATATGTTTAAATGGAGCTTGTTTAACCGCTGGGAGAGCTTGTAGAGTTATTTTGATACTATCTTTGGAAGTGCAAAATTTGATTGCTTCCAGTCTTTTTTTTTTTTTTTCCTTTGGTTGTCTACAACAGCTAAAGAATCTATAAATGGAGGATGGGATGCTTGGATATTTTATAGAGTGATCTCAAGTGCCTTAAAGCCAGATTATGATATGTTCTTTGTGTTAATTCACTATTTTCTAATTACAGAGCCTCCAGTTACAGTCACTCATCCTTTGGTGGGAGGATCAGTCTCAGAAGGGGAGGTGGCACGCTTGGAGTGCAAATTATCAAGTGAAACCAAAGAGAGAGTGACATGGTTCAAAGGAAAAGAACAAATACAAGCTGGAGGGAGATACGAGATCCTTTCTGATGGAAAAAAGCAGACGCTCGTTATTCATGCATTTAAACCTGAAGATCAGGACACATATACCTGCATGGTTTCTCCAGAAGTCAAATCTGTTGCCAGCTTGTGTCTTGAAGGTACAGAGAATGCGTTCCTGTGATGCTAAATCAGTTCTGTTTATGGATATCCAGGGCCATCTCCACAGCTTGGACTGGAACGAATTTTCTTTTACAAGCTGTGATAACAATCCACAAAGAATTGTTATCTTCCTGTTCGGTATTGCCCAGTATGTTTCTGAATCCCTAACAGCTTTGAGCTGCTCAGGTAAGATTTTCCTGAGTCAGATATTTAAGGTGTGATACAGTTGTCTCTAGATGGGTTCCTGGTGCCTTTTGAGATGTTTCAGGGTATTCTGCCTGGCCTTCAGCTGCCACTTCAGTAAGTGAGGGCTCTTTTGTGTGTTCTGCATGGTATCTGCCAGCCCCCTCTCCTAGACATCCCAAATGGCTTTGAGTCATAGTGCTTAGGAAGGTGAATTGTGCCCCTACGGTGGGATTCAGTGGCCCACACACAGTCATCTAGTGCCATTGAAGCACTTCAGGATATCAGCCCTGGCCTCCATCTCCTTCTCCAGAGGGACCCAGAGCACTCATAGGTCCTGCTTTGTATCTGACAGCCTGTTGTGGTTTAAGCCGGCAGGCAGCTGAACACCACACAGCTGTTTGCTCAGTCGTCCCCCCTGCCCTGGTGGGATGAAGAGAAAAAGGAAGGGAAAATAATAGTGATGATGATGATGATAAAAGAATGTACAAAATAAGTGATGCACAGTAAAATTGCTCACCACCCGCGGACCAATGCCCAGCCAGTTCCCAAGCAGCGATTGCTGCCCCCTGGCCAACTCCCCCCAGTTCATGTACTGAGCATGACGTCCCATGGTATGGAATGTCCCTTTGGCCAGTTTGGGGCAGCTGTCCTGGCTGTGCCCCCTCCCAGCTTCTTGTGCACCTCCAGCCTTCTCAGTTGGTAGAGCATGGGAAGCTGAAAAGCCCTTGACTAGTGTAAGCACTGCTCAGCAACAACTAAAACATCGGCGTGTTACCAACATTGTTCTCCTCCTAAATCCAAAACACAGCACTGTAACAGCTACTAGGAAGAAAATTAGCTTTATCCCAGCCAAAACCAGGACAGAGCCAGATGTGGATGTCCCAGACAGCCTGGAGCATCTCAAATGGCACTGGGCACCATGCAGAGGCAAGTCAGCGTGTCCCGGAGGGTGAGTCACAACCTTCAGACTTAGACACATTTAATCCGAAGTATCTACAGGCAGATACCTCCATATGAGGTGGGAGTCTCAGCTCCCATTACAACCAGTGGAGATCTTCTCAAGCTAATTAGTGAAGCCCTGTATAGCTGTAAAATAGGATGAGCCTGGAATAGCTTTCCAGGCTCCACTGACAGTCTTAACAAGATATTCATTGACTGCGACGTTCCAAAAGGGCATTTATTTATTTATTGTGTTCAAATGTGTGAGGAAGAAAAAGAAAATGTTGTTTGGCCGTGTTTTATTCTATGTGCATGCATAGAATCACAGGATAGTTGAGGTTGGAAAAGACTTCTGGAGATAGTGTAGTCCACGCCCTTGCTCAAAGCAGGGTCACCTAGAACAAGTTGCCCAGGACCACGTCCAGTTATATTAATTTCACATTTTGTTCTCAACAGAATGCTTAGTTAAATGCCGTTGATGCTCTTCTGTCCAGGCTTTAGAATAACATTTCCATGTGCTTTCTTGCACACTTTTAACATCTTATCAATTTAATTCTCCTCAGTTCCCACAGTGGCAATGCTAAAAGAAATTGCCAGGGAAGCACCCGCTGCAAGCCAACCAGAAGAGCTGGTGGATGGCCACGTCCAGCCCAGCTTGCCCCCTGAGGCCGCTCAGGAGGGAGACCTTCACCTCCTGTGGGAAGCCCTGGCCAAGAAACGCCGGATGAGCCGGGAGCCCACCTTGGATTCCATCAGTGAGGTGCCTGAAGAGGACGAGAAGCTTCAGAAGTTGAGGAAGGAGGAAGCGGAGATGTCTCACTATTACTCAGAGGAGTACTCCACGTGTGACGAGCTGGCTAGGACAGGAGAAGCAGATTTCTCTTTCACAAGCTCAGATGATGAGTCGAGAGCTGGGACTCCTTCACTGGTGAACTACCTCAAGAAAGCTGGGAAGACAACTGTCAGTGTAACTAGCAAAGTTCAGTCCACCTCCACAGGCCAATTATGGAAACAGTGGGAGAAATCCAGTGTGGAGGCAGTTGTGGCTGCCCCAGCTGCTAAGCCAGCTGAACCAGAAATACCAGATTTAGATGATCCTTCCATGAACAAGGCCGCTGTGAAGATCCAGGCTGCTTTCAAAGGCTACAAAGTCAGGAAAGAGATGAAGCAACAAGAGTGCCCAGTGTTTACTGAGACCTTCAAAGATTTCTCTGGTGAGCCTGGAAGCACTCTCCACCTTGAGTGTGTGGCACACAGCAAAACGGACATGAAAGTCCGTTGGCTGAAAGACGGGGAAGAGCTTTCAGATGGTCGCTACTATCACATAGACAATTACAGTGATGGGACCTGCTCTTTGATTATCGCTGGCCTGGAGAGGAAAGATGCAGGTAAATACACCTGTGAGGCATCTAATAAATTTGGCAAGGTTTCACACAGTGTTAAGGTGGTTATTGGCACTCAGGAACCTCAAGCTCTTTGTAAGGAGAAGCAGGAAAAACAAAGCACTGACAGTGAGACAGAGAGCTCATCTGGCAGTGAGCTGGATGATGCTTTCCGTAAAGCAGGAAGGAGACTTCATAGACTCTTCAGGGCCAAGATCTCAACAGAGATCTCTGATGTGGAGGAAGAGCTCTTTGTCAGTGCAGATGAAGGGGACATAGAGGTGGTCGACCATCAGACATATCGTGAGGATGACCAGTACATCTACATCAAGTTTGAAATCTTGTCTGAGGCAAAAACTGCTGCCACTCGATTCAGAGAGATGTTTGGTGCTCTGGGAATTCCCGTGGAGATTGACATTTTGGAACAAGGCCCTAAAAAAATTGAACTGCGTATTGGGAAAGCGACACCACCCACCCCGGGGAAGTTTGCACTCCCAGTAGAGAGACCTCCACCACCTTTGCTGACTTCTGATACAGGTAGGTGAAGCAAACCTGTTTATTCTTTGGAAAAGACAGACGGAGCAGGTCAGAATGTTATCTTTTCACTCACAAATAACTTCCAAAAAGCCTTTGTTTTTCATTTGGTGCGGATATTTTTCTGGAAACTTTGCACTTTTGGAAAAACTGATGAATTTTTTATTCTTTTTCATTTTGAGGGAGAGGAGGGAGGTTAGTGATGAAGGATGGGGTTGCAAAGTATTGACTTATCTACAAAGCTGCTTTTCACAATAGAAATGTCGCCTACTACAATAATATGGCCATAAATGCTATGATTATTATACTTAAATAAATGAAATAGTTTTCAGAACAGTCCTGAGGGAGACAAGACATTTCAGCAAGGAGAGGAACAGGGGCAACGTATAGTTTGCAGTTGTGGTATTGCATGCTTATGGAGCTATGAAGATATGGAATATCTTCATAGTGTTTGTCAGGGAGTTTCTTCTTGACTGTTTTCATAGAGAAAATATATCACTCTGCAATTAAAAAAACCTAGGAACCATAACTCTTCAGGCACGGGGCAGCAGTGCTCTTAAAATACATCTTTTAACACAACCAAGTTTTTCCTTTTTTCTCTCCTAACTACCCTGACTTTAGCTCCTATGTTCATGACGGAGCTCCAAAACCAAGAGGTACAAGATGGATATCCAGTCAGCTTTGACTGCATTGTCGTTGGCAAACCGCTCCCCACGGTTCGCTGGTTCAAGGATGGGAAAGCTATTGAAGAAAATGATCATTACATGATCAATGAGGACCAGGAAGGGTGCCATCAGCTGATCATCACAGCTGTGGTCCCCACTGACATGGGTGTTTACCGTTGCCTCGCTGAAAACAACGTGGGAGTTGCTTCAACCAAGGCTGAGCTTCGAGTGGACTGTAAGTCCCAAAATCACTGTAGAAAAACCAAGGGAAGGGGTCCTGCTTGAGAGGTGGATACATTTTTTTTTTTCAGAAAAAAACCATTTACCTTAAAAAAAAAAAAAAAAAAAAAAAAAAAAAAAAGTATTCATTGCCCACAGAATGTTTCACTTGGAAACCTCTTGGGTTCAGTTGGGTTTTGTCAACTCCAAGGCAAGGCTCAGAGCAAAGCTTTTCAGATAAACAGAGGTGTTTGCCATAATCCAGGGACGTGTGGGATCCTGCTGCAGTAGCAGCGTGGAAATCAACCTGCCAATCACTCAAATTAGTAGGGAAACTATAATTATAGTAAGAAAAAGTGTTTCAAAGCTCAGATTATAGAAAACACTTCCTTTTCCATTTAACAGTGACCAGCACCGACTATGAGACAGCAGCAGATGCAACAGAGACATCTTCTTACTACAGTGCCAAAGAATATATTTCAAGGTAAAATATCGAACTCTAGTTCTTTCTAACTTCTGACTTGGTAAGATCAATATGTACACTTATGTCCAGCCTGGGTTTGCTATATCTAGCAGGGCCAGTTTAATGTCAGAAAGGAACAGCCCGACCAGCTGAGATGCAATAACTGCCACAGCTGGACATTTATCATGTGCAAACTTGCTCTGGCTGCCTTCAGGCTAGCCTGGGTATTTCTCCATGGTATCACTCCATTACTTGTCATATTACATGTCATATGGTGCTGAATCTGTTGTCATGATGACAAAACCCACGGACTGAATTAACCTAAAATAGGTGATTCTGATTCCTAACTCTTTTCTGGCTTGCTGACTTTCTTCTTTCTAATTTCTTCTAGCCGAGAACAGGAGGAATCTACCACTGAGGAGGAGCAATTGCCCCAGATCTTCGATGAGCTTCATGATATTCATGTGGCGCCTGGAGCATCACTGGCTAAATTTCACCTGAAGGTGAAAGGTGAGGGGAGCCCACAGCACTGTCAGTTGTTCCAGGTTTGCTACCAGGTTGAGCGCTGGACAAGACTTTCTGATGTGCTCTTCTGCAGCTGTGACCCCAGTCCGTGCATCTTGCACCACGTTTGCACAAACTAGCTAGAAGTATGTGTTCATGCTGATGAACATTGACTTTTGCAGCAGACTGAGGCAGATTAAGTGTCTCATTCTGTGTCCATGTCTCCAGGCATAATTACGGGCATACGCTTCTGAAAACTGCGTCCTGTAATTCTCTGAGCACATTAGTTATGGAGGAGCAATAAGGAATAAAAAAAGATAGTGAGGGTGTCCTTTATTCTCCTTAACAAATGAAACAGTCCTGGACTTGCCTTACTCTTTGTGGGGGTTGCTGCTACAACCTAAAACTGCACAAACATTGTCCTGGTGTTGACTGTCTGTGGTAGGGAGAGGTGGGGATTCTCCTGTTTTCTCTGATTGCTGCCTATAAAAATGATGAGAACTGTTTTGGCTTCAACTTTTCTCTTTGTGTATGTTGCAAATCAGACCTGAGTGTTACCCTTCCAACCTGGAAGGCATTTGCACATGCAGCCAATATGGGGAGTGCCAGAAACTGAAGAGACAGGAAAGAACTTTAATAGATAAATAGAATTTCATGAACTTGCAGTCATCCTAATTGGGTAAATCCTTGAAACAGCAGCCCTGGGCAGAGCTGAGGATTCCTTGGCTCCTGCTCAGAAGGATCTGCCTGTTTGGAGATGCTCCCAAATCGATGTTGCCAATGCATTCTGTTCTCCATGTCTGTAACTGCTCCTCGCAGGGTACCCGCAGCCTCGTCTCTATTGGTTCAAAAACGGACAGCCGTTAAAGGCCTCGGATCGCATCCTGACGACTGATAAACAGGAATTCCACTTGCTGGAAATTCGCGACGTCACTAAGGCAGATGCTGGCCAGTACTCAATATTTGTCATCAACTCTGCAGGTTCTGCATATTCATCGGCTAGGCTGGTAGTCAAAGGTAGGTATTGGACTGTTTCTGGCACCTGCTTTTCTCTATTCCAGTGGCTCCTTCCATTTTATATAGTTATTTTTCTTGAGAAAGCCTACCAAGGTAAGTCAAGTGAGGCGGAGAAGTCTGTAGGTAAAAGATAACATGCTTTAATCCTGGTTCACCTATAAATTTACTGTGTGTCCCGAAGATGAGACATGCCACTTCTCTGGGGTCTGACTGTTGTCTCATAAACATACATTTTATTCCTGCCTAACCTCATTAACTTTAATGGTTCATTTTATTAAAACTGAGGGCCTCTTATAAATCATACTAACATTTCTGTGTAATATCTCCTGCAAGGAGTAATCCCCTGGAATCACTTTTTTTTTTTCCTTCAATTCATGGACAGAAAGGTATTTGTCATTTTGTTTTTTTCTCCTTGTGTTACAGATCCTGATGAGAAAGAAGAGCCATCAGAAACAGGTGAGAGAAGCCATAGCAGGTGATAACAGAACCCCTAGGAATTTTTCAGTAGTCTAAACTCACACAGAAGGTGTCATCACGTTTCATCAATAATGTCATTTTCAGATTCCCACGAGCAGCTGATACCACCAAGGTTCCTAGAAAGATTTACCAATAAAAAGGTGAAAAAAGGTGCAAGCATCACATTATCTGTAAAAGTTGAAGGTAAGTGGATAGATACCTTGCCTCTCTGCATAACACTTGAATTGCATATCTTCATGACACATTCTAGACTCTCTCTTCATGACACATTCTAGACTCTCTCTGGCCCAAGTCATTGTAACCTCATCTCCTGTACCTGAAGTCTGGGACTCTACTCCCAACTTTGTAAGAGACTTTATGTGCTTCACAGAAAAGCATCTTACTCATCTTCACCTCCGTTTTCCTGCATGTAAAAACAGGGAGAATAACACTTATTAGTCTTATGAAGATGTGTTAGTTATCAGTTTTGGTTTTACAAAAAGGTTTAATGTTCTTATGAGTGTGCTGTAGAAAGGTTTACGTTCCTTTATGATATATTATGCCTGTTATTGTTGGAAAAATATCAGGAAACAGATCAAAATACCATTTATTCACAGCTTGGCTCATAACTGTAAGGAAGGAACGCCATTAGGAAAATTAAAGCTCATTGCATTGGTTTTCCTTTAGGACATCCACCACCAACTATTACTTGGCTGAAAGAAGAGCCTCGGGAAGATCTCCTGTGGATCAAACCAGACACTCCTGGGTATAAACTTGCCAGTTCAAATATGCATCACAGTCTAATCCTGTTGGACGTTAAAAAGAAGTACAGTGGAGCTTATACGTGCATTGCTACCAACAAGGCTGGCCAGTCCATCTGCACCGCCACCCTGGAAGTTGCAGATGGTAAATCTTTGTTACAATACAAACACATTCTCTATGTTACCTTTTATGCAGCTCCTAAGAGAAAAACAGACATGACTGATAAGGAAATTAATGAATCACAACTGAAAAAAATTCATTTTCCCAAGATTAGCCATGACTTTGCTTGCCTTTCAAATGATTACACTCTTTACTTGTATAATGTTTTACATTTCTGACACTATCTTGGATTAACAGCAGCATCTTTTCTGTATAAACAGAAGACAAGTCTAACAAACAACCAGATTAAGCACAAAGGAAAAAGAAAGGAAGAAAGGCAATGTAAAGTAACTAGAAAAAGTCACCATCTGAAAGATTATTTTGAGTGTTTCACTCTACTAAGGTATTTTGCATTGTAGAATTGCCTTAAGGCAGCTAGAGTTATTTGTTTCCCCTTTTGCAGAGCTTTCCAGGACCTCTCCTGGCACAATTCCTTCAGTAAGACAGGGGACAAGCAAATACAGGCTGAGAGTAGGGGCAGCACTGTGAAGGACTCCATTTTTCTGTTATTCTTCCTTGCATCCCACACTTTTACTGTACCAAGAGCTACAGGAGCATAGCTTGAGCAGTGTAGAGAAGTGGCGCAATCATACGTCTATGTGAACAGGGAGAGGAGCAAACTATTTGCATGATGTGAGCGGGAGTATGTATCCCGGTCAGGAGCTACTAACAGGGCAGATTTGGTATTCCAGTGTTCCCAGTAATCCATGTCTAGAAAATGTGCCTACATTTAATACATAAAAAGAACATTCTCTGCCTTCTGTCCTCTAATGATAAATCCTAATCTTGCAGTGAAAGAGGCTGAAGTTCTGACCCAGGAGCGTGTGATGGTGTCAGAAGCCATCATGACCACACTGGGGTAAGTGGTTGGGAACCCACGCTGAAGTGGAGCAGTGCAGGTACCACCCTGCAGAAGTCCCCATGAGTCACTTTTAGGCAGTGTTCATTTTGGACACCTTATATTCTTGTCTTAGCACTAGAGTTAAAATAGTTTGAGGTCCTAGGATGGAAAGTGCTATAAATACTCTAGTATCAATGTCAACCATTTATGCTTGATTATCAGGGAGGATAGGAGCAAGGACAAAAAAAAAAAAAATTAAAAATTGGGGTAGGTTATATAAAACTCTTGCTACTTTTTCATCTCCTAAGAAGAATGCCAAAAAAATTCACAGGGTCAAGGTCTGACTGTTAATTGCCAACATTGAAATACACTGATGCTTCACAGAAAAAGAAGTAGATGAAAAGGGTCTGCTCACAAACTTCTTGTTTACAAATGCACCCAAAGAATAACTTCCTCAATTCGCCATTCTTGGCTTGGATACTAGGCAGATACAGTCTGAAAAGCGGTATCCACCTGAACACACTTTAGCTTCTAGAATATGTCTAGCCTAAAAGGCTTGACCAGTCTTCCTCTGAAGTGTGAAGAAAGTTAAGAAAGCTGCAGTGTGAATTCAGCTATTCCACTGCAACCTCTCCCAAGGATGTGCCCAGGCTCTGTTAGGCATACTTAGTGATACATGGTTTATCATATATCAAGTGGAGTGAGCTTCCTCCTGCTTCCTATGTACTAACAGAGAATTAGGGCAGATCAGCTTTTGCAATGAAAATTTATGTCCTGCCTCCAAAAAGCACAGGAATAGCAGAGATGTTGACTTCAGGATATTAGTGTTTTGACAGAGTAGTCATAGGAAACAGCACAAACCCTCTCCATCAGATGCAAGCAAATGCTGGTAGCTCTTCACGCCTGTGAAGCCATTTTCACTCAGTGTTGACAATACAGTCTCCTGCCCCTTTCCTGCTGGCATGAATCAGTTTGGTGCTGGTAAAAGCTGTCAGTGTAGCAAGGGTCTCTTTGGACCTGAAAACCACTGCAGTACCGGTAGTCAGCTTGCTTCCCCAACACACAGGCATCCTGATGCGATGGGAGCAGATCTCTTGGCAGGACCACAGCATATGCATATTCTCCAGTCCTTGGTTTCCTGATGAAACCACTGGAAATTGTTGAGCATTAGTTCGCTGAAAACTGACTGAGACCACAGATCCCACTTGACATAATGTCTCCAACTGTAATAACTTTATTTCAGTGTCAGCTGGGAATAAAGTCCCAGTAGTAGCACCAGGGAGATGGAGGCTACTCTGTTCTGCAACCCACTCCCTGAGCAGCCAGGTCTTCTCAAGCAACAGTTTGAAATAGAAGTCAGGAATAAGGAGAATTCTCAGATGAGATTCGGCTCAAAGACTAAGACATCCAAGTGTTCCTATGCCCGTATGAGCCAGGTGCCCCAGTTCTCATTTCTTACAGTGGCCCTGGTGAGTATCGGCTACCAGCACCTGCAGTCCAAACCAGAGTCCTAACTTAGATATTCCCAGCCGTCCTGTACAAGGTTTGAGAAGGAGGGGGTGTTTCTTATTTAGTTCTCTTTACTACACGTTTTATTTTAACTTTTAACTCTGCTTTACTCTTTCTTTTTCAGAGCTATTCATCCCTCTGAAATAAGAGAAGGTAAGAGAAGCTATTTTCTCTCCCCTACTCCTGCCCTTCACACCTACAGCTGAGATTGTCTATGTATTTCATGATTACCACCTACTTTTGTCCTGTTTTCTTGAAACTGTCTGAAATGTTGGAACTTTTCAGGACTGGTCTCTGTTCAAGGGTGAATTATGTGGATGAAGTGTGAGCCAGCACAGTTTTAAAAACAGGGGAAGTGAAGAAAATTAGACCTTCCTTCCATAGAAGGTTTTGTTACTCAAAAAAGATGACTTTCCAATGACATTGCTTGCTTAACAGAAAACCCTCTCTTTTCCAGGAGACCTTGAAGCTGGTAGAGAAGGTGTACCCAAAAGCCCTGTTTCATTAGCTGATGTTGGCTCAGAAGAGTTCTTCCAGAAACTCACCTCACATATCTCAGAAATGGTATCTGCAAAAATAAGTCAGGGTAAGGAACCTGGCAAACACAATTCAGTTAGTGTATGCAATATGCAATCTTTTTTTAGGTATCGTTTGGACTTTAAATATCAGTGAGATTTATGAAGCAGGTTTTGAGACAGTCATCCTACATAAGCATATGAACATTTGTAAATGCTTAGGACTAAGAATTTTTAGCAATTTTAGTCCATCCAAACTGCATGTCTTAGTCTACAGTTTTGAACGAGAAAGAAAGCTATTGCAGTGAACTAAGATGGCTAGTGTCCATTTTATGCATACAGTGTTTATTTAAATAAGCAGGAGTAACTGTAAGCTTTAGAGTGGAGGGCAAGTTGTGAAAATTGAAGCGTATTATTTTGAACATCTTAGGTATTTCGAGTTCCTCAGATATTCATCGCTCCTGAGTCTGAAAGCAACCCTCTTTTGAAGATGTCCCACATTTTCAAGTTTTAGCTCACAATGGGATTTTAAAATCAAGTTGAGGCTGAAAACTGTGTGCACAGCTGTGCAGTAATGCAATGGTTTGTTGAATTAGATGAAAAATCCTGGTTTGTGTATCATATACTGATTATCTTGTAGTAAAATTTTACCTTGAAGCAAAAATAGAGACATTACCACTCCTACAAATACTCTTGCAGTGCAGTGGCAATACATGCAGTAGGCATGCAACCTTATGTACTAAAACGTCCCAATTATTTATTTAATCCTAAATATCAATAGGAGATCACACTAAATACTACAAATGCTCTTTCTAAGGAATATTTGGTTTTATGAAATTGAATGTTATTATAGATTTGGTTCATGTTCAAATTGGAGATCGTTATTTCACACTTTGCTGTTGCTCTGCTTTTTAGCTACCCTTCGAGTGCCAGGTGCAGAAAGTGATGATGAATCAAAAACTCCCTCTGCATCTCCTCGCCATGGACGATCCAGACCTTCATCCATTGCTCAGGAGTCCTCCTCTGAATCTGAAGATGGGGATTCCAGAGGAGAGGTATGATATCTTTATGGACAAGTTTGACACAAGGAGGAAACTTTACTTAGAACCACCAATCTCCTATGATTTAAGTATCGCCATCCCCTTTAGGGATGTACTTCAATTTAGTAGGTGTATTTAGTAGTTAAATATTGGGTCTGCGATACGGAGCACAGAGAATCAAATTCTGATGCTTACTGTGTGATCTTGAACAAGTTGTTCAACACAACATGGTCAAAACATATCCATTATTGGGCACCTTTTGCTTTCACGGCTGAGCTTCAGAAAGTCAGAGTTTGCTTTTCTGTGGCCTTGGATGGAGTTGGTCAGAAGAATTTTGTTGAGAAGTTCTTCATGAGAAAAATGAGAATTTTCTGAAAATTAGAAATCTTTTGGGTGTTCATTTCAAACACTTCCAAAAAAAAAATTAAAACTTTGGAAATGTTAACCTATTTTGACATTTTCAGGACCACTCTTTGTTTTGTCTTGGGAGAAAAATCCACTGTTTCATGGTGTAAACCCAAAACACCTCATACAGTTTTGAAAATATGGCCTGAGCCCCCTAGAGATTTAGTCTTCCATTTGCAAAAAGCAAAGTGATTCTCTCTGCCGTACAAGGGCTGGAGAATAAAACATTAAACACAGATAAGCACTTATTTTCTGCTAGTGTTACTGTATTCTATTTTCAGAGCACAAAATAACTGTTGTTTCATGCCTGCAGATCTTTGACGTCTACATGGTCACGGCTGACTATGTGCCCGCTGCGCCTGACAGGGAGACCATCACTTTGAAGGAAGGCCAATATGTGGAAGTCCTTGATTCAGCTCATCCTCTGAAATGGCTGGTCAGGACTAAACCCACAAAATCTAGCCCCTCTCGACAGGGTTGGGTATCTCCAGCTTATCTGGACAAGAAATTAAAGGTGACTGATCACGCTGTGTTTATTTTTCATGTAAAATTACTTGCTCCTGTTGCAGTTTAGAGCCATCCCTTTTGCAAGGAGTGATGGATGAGGAGGTTGTTGGAGTCTGTAACATGATTGGACTTTTTCATGTTTTGAATAGACAATATTTCTGTATGTGTGCAGGGGTGCCTGGGTTTGAAAGACCTAATCATCCTCCAGCAAAAAAGAAATTTCACACTGGTTTAGGAATTGTTGAAAGGGACTGTGAACACACGCGAGGGGTATTCTTCAGTGAGCATTGATGAAAGCACGTTAGCTTAAAAGAATAATGTTTCTTTTCTCTTGTATTTTAGTTGTCTCCAGAATGGGGAACAACAGAAGCTCCCGAGTTCCCTGGAGAGTTTGTTTCTGAAGATGAATATAAAAGGAAGCTAAGGTGAGCTCACGTCATTTGGTATTTGCACCTTTGAGTTTTCTTGCCTTTTGAACTAACGTGAACGTTGGCATCTAGCTCCCTCCTGTCAGAGTCACTATTTATGTTCTGCTGAGTCCTGCCACCTCCACTTTCCCAGAATCAAGCAAACCTTTGATTCTTTCAGACTTGTAATTTGTGATCTTTCATTGGGTTTTGCCATTGATTTCAGCCTAGGAAAATTCCCGGCAATCTAAATCATATTGGATGACTTGAAAGGAGGGTTTTACATGATGTAATTCTCGAAGCTCTCTGATTTCACAAAATCCTAAACTACAGTACCTCTGTCCTTTGGGGTGCCCTATATCTGAGGATGATGTCTAAAGAGGGAGTGAAAGCACTCAACCTTGTGTTACTCCCTTGCAGTGCAGCACACTACTGAGTGTGCTCTCATGGAGATACTTGCTTTCTTGATTGCATAAAGTGGCATTGAAGTTGTTACTGTCTGCTTTACATAGATCCTTTTGTTGCTCACGCTCTCTTTTATCTGCCCTAACAGTAGATGTCTGTAAGGTAGAGGTAGGTGTCACCCGTGAGCAGAGTGTCTAAGTTCCTCTTACGGTCAGAGGGGATCTAGTCAACACACTCCAAGGAGTGTGTTCCTCTGATCATATATCTCTGCTTTAGAGCCTAAAAGTCTCTCAGCATGTCAAGGTGTTGTGGTTTAACCACAAGGATAATTGTGATGATTTTTCTGTGATTTCTTTTTGCCTATTTGTCTTCCCTTCAGTGTTCTTATTCAAGAGCTGTTGATCTCAGAAGAGGATTACGTTCAAGATCTACAGTTTCTCCAGACTCATCACCTTAAGTACACTGAGACCTGTCCCAATGTCCCAGGAGCTGTCGCCAGCCAGAAATCCACCATCTTCAGAAATATTGATGGCATTGCTCGCTTCCATTCCAGGTGGGCATTCCCACGTGCCTTCATCTGAGACCAAAGAGTGGCTCGCATACCCGGTGTCAGAGCCACAGTAACTATTATTACTGTGAAGGATGTGGAGCACTGGCAGTGCTGAGGTGCAAGGGAATTGATGGTCCTTTTGGGATGACAGATGATGGTATAGCTTAAGTCAGAGCACAGGGTTGGGACTCACATAATACCCTTCAGAGCTTCAAAGCTTCATATGTCCAGCTTGTTTCTTACCCTTTTAAGTGAATTTAATTGAGAAACAGTGAATTATTATAAAAAGGGGTCTTACAGGCACTTCAGTGGTGTCTTCGTAGAGACACACATTCACTTAAAGCTGATGCCAGCGTCCATGCATTCAAACCACATCCAGCTGTAGCAGGCTGCCCAGGTACAACGCCGTGGCACGATGCCTCTGCCTACTCCAAGAAAGGATTTACTGCAGATCTGCCGTTCACAAAGTGACTTCCCAAGGTCCAGGCTGAAATACTTTTACTTGCCAGGAAGAAGAGGTGTCGTACAATGTCTTACATGCCTCAGGCTTTCCGTTGCTAAGGGGCTTCCTTTTGCACCTTGATACCCTTGCTCTCATGGGAAGTGATTGTTCTCATAGGAAGTCCCTGCCAACAGCATGAGAATCACCCTTTCTTCCCCGTTTTCCTACTCTGCGGTCCTAACTTTTGGTTTACCTTGGGGGAGGGGGTCAATAATACGCGCGCACAAAGCTCAACAACCAGTGAGCATGCAGCATCTTCCCTGATCAACGTGTGCTCCGATCAGTGCCAACAGCATCGTAAGCAGGAGCAACCAACACAGAGTTTGAGCAGGTTGCGATGAAAAGTATATAGTTACTCTGGGAAAAGCATTATGGGGGGCACCGCTTCTGCAATGGGGAGGACACTTTGTGGGACATCCGTCACTTTTCCTGGCTGGGCCACGAGAACAGATTTCCCTTCTCTTTCCTCCCTCTCTCTCTCTTTTCTCTCCCTCTCCTTTTGTTTTTCCTCAAAAGTAACTTCAACTGCGAGAGGTGATGCATGTCATCAGCTACCAACACTGCTAAAAAACTTTGTGCATGTGAACCTGTCTCAACATCCTTTGTGAAACACAACGGGGATCGCTGTCTTCACTCATGTGGATGGCTCATTGATCCTTAAACTGAGGCATAAGGATCTGGGCAGGGGTTAACTTCCCAACTTGGGCTAAGCCCTTGAAAGTTATCCCTACCTTCCTTGGAGGGCATTTCTTACATTCAGGCTAAGAAGGACAGCATCATGCTGGATGAAGAGGCATTGAGAAGTTTAATGTTAATGTGGCAACATCCCTCATTTCCCCCAGTCATGTCCTTTAATCTGTGTTAACCTGAAATTGCCTGATTTAAGTGTCTGGCTGCTGGGGCTGTGTTCTAGCCTCATTCCATCACCTTCTCCTCAGATGTCCTTTTTGATTTGTCTCCACAGTGTCTTCCTCCGAGGCTTGCAGAAATGTGACACTGATGATGATGTGGCCATGTGCTTTATCAAGCATGAAGCAGAGTTTAATAAGTACATCCAGTACCTGGTGGGGAGAGTACAGGCTGAGTCGATTGTTGTCAGCAAAGCTGTCCAGGATTTCTACAAGGTAAAACAGTAGCCAAAGTACCTGCTGAGCATGCACCCTGTAACCTACTGCATCCAGAAATGTAGTAATTAATCACAAATGAGATCCTGAAAAGGATTATTAAATATTTTTGCAGGAAATCATTACTAAATATAATAATTTTGTTTTCGCTCTCTAGCTCTTCCTGGTCAGTACAATCAATATGGGAACACGTTTACATACGCTTATGCATTTATAAATATTATAAAGATTATACAGATATGAACGTGGCTGTGATTATGTAACTGTAATTAAGGGACTTTTTAAGGGCCACCACATTATAAGACCAAGCGAACTCACATAAAATATTAGAAGAGATAAGGAAATCCTGTTTCTCCTCTCCAGCTGGTCAGGATTGAAGTTCCCTAGTGAAAACACACACACCACACTCCAGATCCATGAGCACATGCATGTTCGTGGATCCCTTGAGTAGCAACACGGCTCCTCTGTCCATCCAATACCCCTGCCCAGATCCTGAGTGCTTTTACCCTCTCCTTGAGCCTTCTACTGACCAGCTCGTCCAGCCTGATGCTCGCTAGAAAACAAATGCACGTGTTCACTCTCACCCCACGTTCACAGATCCCTCAAATTATCAGTACAAGCTCTCAGCCTCCCTAATAACCATGCCTGGATCCTGGGTCTCCTACTTGCAGCCAGCCCAGCTTGAAGTTTGCTGGTGAATTGCACACAGTTGCACCCACGTGCACCAGGCCAGTGGAAAGGACAAACGTCCAGCTCAGCGGCTGATGCCCCAGCACACGGACCCTGTGACCTGCGCTTCCCACTCCAGGTGCCGGTGCAGACACCCTCACTGGCTCCGGTTGCTGGCACTGCAAACACACGGACCGCTCTCCACCGAGGTCTGGTAGCAGTTGCTGGCACTGAGTTCACTCGCCCCCCGACAGCGCTGATCTTTCCTGTCACACCATCTGGTTCTGCAAGCTTTGGGTCACATTTCCCCAGCACCAGTCCTGCACTGGAAAATCAGACAAATTCAGCATTTCAGACATCTTGCAGTCTAAACTGATAACTAGCTGATAAAGGATGGGGGAGGGTTACAGATGTCCAAAATATGCGGTAGTAAGGTCAGGTAGAGCTATCCAGTTTTGGTTGAGTTAGGTCTGTGAACCAGCATCATATGAGCATTTTCCAGGGACTAATCTTTTCAATTGTTCTTTATAACAACGTTTCCTCATTCTTCTGTGTATTTTTTCAGAGATACACAGATGAAATCTTAACTAATGAAGTTCCTTCACAACCACTTATCCCACCACTGCAGCACTACCTGGAAAAACCCATAAACAGGATCCAGCAGTACCAGACTATCATCAAGGTGAAAAGCTTTTGTTATATGCTTGTATCTGATAGGTTTATGTTCTGCTTTGTGCAGCTTGTGTAGAAAACTATTTTATTTTTATTTCATATTTCTTGGCTTTCTTCTGATGCAACTACAATTGAAAGCTGCTTAAGACAGACAGACAGTAATCATCACCAGTGATGGTGCTCTCTAAATAGTTTTTTAGATGTTAATCCAGGTAGAGGTTCACAGTCTCCAACCCCATAAAGTTCAGCAAGATTTATCTGAATGATCTTTAAATATATGCATACAAATATTAAAAAAAAAGCTTATATGCATATATATGAATACATGTATGTATATATCCATGACAAGTATGAATTTGCTTCACACTCAGCAACCAGTACGTTATAAAAATAAGCAATTCCCAATGTGTAAGAAATTATTTACCAGTTTCTTTCCTTGTATTTTATACTGACATTATAGTAAGATGAAATTTTCCTTTTCTGAAAAGCTTTGCCTCATTCTGCCATCCAGAAATGTTTCATCTTTCAAGTTTTCATCTGTCCTACTATCTCAGGTTCTAGCCCAGACCACAAATCAAAGTTTCAAAGTAGCATTTTTTAATGGTATTTTGCATGGGAAATAGCACAAGGATAGTCAGAAAGAAGACTGCCAAAATATTTCTGTATTCTAACATTACAGAAGTGAGCAGCTTAAAGAGTTTGAAGAAGGTTCAAATTAACTTTCTAATTTTGAACACTTTCCTCCACACAAACACCAACATTTTAAAGGGTCTCTTGGAAGAGAGAGTGAGCATACCTTCATTACTAAAAGAGAGGAACAGGAACAAATGTGAAAGAAAAGGATAACTGCCATTTAATTTTTTTTCCCCACCCTCCCTTGTTTTTAATCTAACAGCGACTCTTAGTTTAGCACTGCCACATGAATTGCTTGCCTCGTGGTATCGTCAGGGTAAGCACGAGAGAAATGCAACGGATACATTTAGGATTGCTTTGGGGTTTTTTTTGTTTTCAATCACCGAAGCATATCTGGTATTTGCTTCAACTTTGTCTTTGTTTAATACCACTTGATGTAAGGAAAAGCCAGACTGGTTAGTCAGTGAGGTTGCAGAATGGGTAGGAAAGAGGAGACTTTAGTAGCTAAGCAGCACATGGTGAAAGAACGGGATAAAAGTTGCTCAGATGAAAGAGCTGGAACAAATATTGAAAAACTCTTTGGCTATCAAGGAAATGTTTTGGTTTGGTTTTTTTTTTCTGACTGCCCAGTAACATTTTCTTCATTCACCTACAGGAATTAATCCGAAACAAAGCAAGAAATAGCCAAAACTGCACTTTGCTGGAGCAGGCTTATGCCGTGGTATCTGCACTCACCCGAAGAGCAGAAAACAACCTCCATGTCTCACTCATTGAGAATTATCCAGGGACCTTGGAAAGCCTTGGCGAACCCATCCGACAGGTAACTGGAATTTCTCAGTCAGTGTTAGTGCTGTGAATGCCCTCACTAGTTTCTAAGCAGCCTTAGGTCCTACAAGAAGCTCCTT